ACCCCAATTTAAATTGAAAAGGCTTGTAACATAACACTAATGCTAAAGCTTAAACTAATCTAAAGTTATATAAAACCAACCTGAATTACGTACAAGCAATCCCTAATTACCCATCTCTGTTGTGCAATCCCACTGCATCCTTGATTTATCATTGTTTTCCTTGATCATTAGGAATTTCAAACAAGTTTCCATATCCCTTTTTCTTCCCTTTTCAAGTAGACTCTCCACCTTCTTTTCAATGAGGATTTAATTTATTAACATAGTAAGATAAATTCCCACATAATAGTTGTTTACTTTACAAAATAGTAGAAAATCTTACATAAAATCAAGCAACATCCTGTCATCACTACTTACTAAAATATCAAATGCTCTCCAAAGTGGGACAGAAAATAAGTGTACACTTTGTTGGAAAGAGTTTTCAACTCCCTTAAATGCCTTTTTGTTTTTCTACATGGTCCACATCAGCGTCAAATGAGCTATTTCCCGTGTCTCTTTCTCCTCCTCTTACTCCAGAAGTCCCACTGCAGTGACAAATCTCAAATAATTCCTAACACTCGCCTATTCTGCGCCAAACGCATTCCACACTATGTCACAATCTTACATCATTAGGCAGTGAAGTCTCAGACGATTGACATGTTCACAGCCCTATTGCACATAAAAGACCAGCTAATGCAAATTTTCCTTATTTTTAAAGTCTCAGCATGGTTCGCTATGCAACTGTCCAAACATAAAGGTCACTTCTCTTGGTGCCTAGACAGCTAAATTGAGGAGTGAGAAAATTCCTGTTCTCCCTTTGCATTAACCTATTGAAAACATTACTAGAAAGTACGCTACTTCTGCCTCCCNAAAAAAAAAAGACAATGTTGCATTTTTTAGTAAGAAATTCGCAATAAAAGAAAGTCGTTGATAGGAACTTCCTTAAGATGTTATAAAAGACTTGATAGAGTACTACTAAAGCGTAAACTCTAAAACTTCAATGCTTTTATGTAATCACTTTGTTTACCAAATTGAGATGCTAACTCCAATGTTTCACTCTGGACCAGGGAGCTCCATTGACGGAATACACGCTTCGCCTGATCGGTTCAGACATAGAGCACTACATAAGAAAGCTTCTATATACTGGAAAAATCCAATACAACATGAATGCAAAAGTTCTTAACTTCAGCATGGGGAAACCAAGAGTTGGGTTCAATTACAATGGCCAAATGGAAGATGTAAACCAGTAAATTCAGGTAACAACGTTGACTATATTGAAACAATGAGTAGCAGAACCAAGTTTTAAGAATGTAAATGAAAATTTCACCTTCTCTTCTAAGTATGTATATGATCTTCTCTATGTCTGTTTTCAACACTTACCCCACAAAGATAATGCACAGCAAAATTGTCCTCCGCTAGTAATTGAAATAGTAACCTTTGATTCTCTTCTTCTATCGCTTTGTTTTATGGCACACGGCGGTATTGATGAATGGGAAAAAGTAACAACAACTTCTAGGAAGATCCAGGCATTGTTCGGAGACACTCTGCATCCTCCCAAGGCATGAACGCATCTTCCCGAGTTAGATGCTGGAGATATTGAAACAAAATGTAATTTTAGTACAAGTCACTAGCTTCTTGCAGAATGAGTAAGAATGTAAAAGAAAATAATGAATGTGAAAATGTCATGAGCGATGAGGCCATAATACTCCCTTGGTCCTTGTTCTCGTTCCGTTGGTCCATATTTATAACTAACAAACTCCTATTGGCTCAAACCTCATATAGACATCAAAACTTTGACAATGATACAGACATAGAGATTAGATCAGTCATCCTTATTGATCCTTGAAATTTTGGAGTCCAAAAAGTAAATTTGAGCAAGTCGAGTAGTTTTTCATGGTTTTTTGAGGTCAAAATGCAGCACTTCATAATTTAGAGGCAAAATGTCTGATAGGACGACAACAACCATTGATTCGAGGAATTTTGGAGGCAAGTGGTTTGGTGGGAAAAGGGTACTTTCTACTGTGTTTTCCATTAGGGACTGGGTGTGAGGAGATCCGCATGTATGGTAACTGCAAGGATCACCTTACACACTGAAAGAAAGGGAGCCTTCATTGAAGTCAATCTTTGGTAGGGAAAACATGGATTTGTAAGGTCCCTCTCCTTTCTGGATGCTGGCCATTAACTACTATACTATCTTGGTCCTAGAAGCTAATCTCTCTTTTTCCATCATTACCTTACCTCCTTTTTCATGCAATAAGGTTTATGTACTAAAGGCATAAAAAGATTTACAAAATCAGGTCATTTAAAAGGCGATTGCAGGTAACTCTATTTAATAAGAATTGATTCGTGATAAAAAATAAATGGTATGTAACCTGCTATAATAGGTTAATTACCACTGACAGTGCAAGACTTCTTTACACTCTCAGTGGATATAACTTAAATGTATTTGTTTTTATTCATGATGCAACATTGAGCAATGAATGATCCTTATCTGCAATTTATGGGGTACTTTGGTCTTGGGCATGGACTTCTGCTCAGGACTACATAGACAGCTCTCGTTTCTTCTGTACATCTCATGAGAAAGTAAGGGCTTACCAATAACTGTAGAGCTATCATAATCTAGACAAGCTAATGTTTACAAGTAATCCAAAAAAGGAAAACATGTGATTAGAGCCTATAGAAATTTCCTAATTACACAATTATATGGATCCAAATTAACAAGGTATAGATTCTTGTTATGTTTACATATTCTGGTCATATTAAAGACCTGCAATACCCAATCTATAACATCATAAACAAGTTGGAAGCTGCAATAAGTTGCAGTCTAGATAAGACAAAGTTCCCTCAACTCTTTGAGGATTACCAATTTCTTTTGTCAAAAGTAAAGAAAATTGTTGGTGTATCTAAGATTTTAAGCACATGATCACCTTTTGTAACAATCCCTCTGATGAGGAAGGTCCTTGCTTTCGCTTACACCACAAAATTTGCTATGAAAAGGATATCTTTGCAGATTATTCTAACAGCTATAAATCATCAAGACCGATTGCCCAGTACATTCTTTTCCATCTAACAGTTTCTTAGCTTCATACCTCTTTTGGCTCATTACCATATTCCACCTACTTATTGGAAACATATATACGAGTTTAATATCACAATCAATTATTGTGAGAATTCATATAGCTGACACGTAGTACTAGGACTGACATGTAGTAATAGTTGTTGTTGTATATGGAATTTGCTGCATTTCCACACTAATAGACACTTCCCATGCTAAGAGAAAAATTAAATGTCTAATTTCTTAAATAGATCAGTTTACCTGCAAGATTGCAACAATAAAATGAAGCAAAAGACAAAAGACAGATGAAAGGGGACGGGGAGAAAGAAAAATTGTTACTGTTCTTTACCAAGGACATCCAAGAAGAGGTAGCCCTCACCTCTAACCAAAAGAAAAACCCACGCATAATATTCAACTTTTTATCTTTGTCATGATTGGTCCTTTTGATTTCTCGATTGACACCTGCATTTTTACAGTGAAAATATATTGGAAATTCGTTGTTGATATGAAAATCACATGACTGACTTGGGATACGAACTGGCGCAGCGAATATCAGAACTAGCAATATCAATAGCAAATATGGAAGTAGAAACTAGAGAGAAATTCAACTAAACAAGCAAACAAACTTTAGTTTCTTCTCTTCTAAAACAAAACTACCAAAATCTAATTGGGAACCCTAATCTTGTGTTTTAAAGACTAATATACTTCCCAAAATACCCCAATTTAAATTGAAAAGGCTTGTAACATAACACTAATGCTAAAGCTTAAACTAATCTAAAGTTATATAAAACCAACCTGAATTACGTACAAGCAATCCCTAATTACCCATCTCTGTTGTGCAATCCCACTGCATCCTTGATTTATCATTGTTTTCCTTGATCATTAGGAATTTCAAACAAGTTTCCATATCCCTTTTTCTTCCCTTTTCAAGTAGACTCTCCACCTTCTTTTCAATGAGGATTTAATTTATTAACATAGTAAGATAAATTCCCACATAATAGTTGTTTACTTTACAAAATAGTAGAAAATCTTACATAAAATCAAGCAACATCCTGTCATCACTACTTACTAAAATATCAAATGCTCTCCAAAGTGGGACAGAAAATAAGTGTACACTTTGTTGGAAAGAGTTTTCAACTCCCTTAAATGCCTTTTTGTTTTTCTACATGGTCCACATCAGCGTCAAATGAGCTATTTCCCGTGTCTCTTTCTCCTCCTCTTACTCCAGAAGTCCCACTGCAGTGACAAATCTCAAATAATTCCTAACACTCGCCTATTCTGCGCCAAACGCATTCCACACTATGTCACAATCTTACATCATTAGGCAGTGAAGTCTCAGACGATTGACATGTTCACAGCCCTATTGCACATAAAAGACCAGCTAATGCAAATTTTCCTTTATTTTTAAAGTTCTCAGCATGGTTCGCTATGCAACTGTCCAAACAATAAAGGTCACTTCTCTTGGTGCCTAGACAGCTAAATTGAGGAGTGAGAAAATTCCTGTTCTCCCTTTGCATTAACCTATTGAAAAACAATTTTACAGTAAAAGCCATCCTTCTGCCTTCCCATTTCCATACGTCTCTAGCCATCAGTGAAAGTTTTACCTGTTAAATAATTCAACCAAACAGTTAATTCACCGATTTCCCAATTCTTTATGATGGCCGTGCTCACCTTGGACTTGGCCATACCTTTGGGATTGGTTGGAATCATGTGACACTAGCATCGTTGATGAATGAGATAGGATGGTTTAAATGGAGGAGCGCTCAGGGGTATTATGCTATAAAATGGTTTTAAGACCAGTAATATTATATAGGAGTGAACGTTGGGCCTCTAAACCAAAACATCCACAAAATGAGTGATGCACAACTGCACAATATAAGACGAGAAATATCACATTGGAAGTAGATAGAAGCAGCACATAGAGGACAAGATGATTTCAGTAGGTGTGAAATCATGATGACTAAAGGTGTTCGGATGAGGTAGGCCTAGAGTCACATGAAATGACATTATCTCAAAAACCCTAAAATCTCTTAGAATCCATGCAAACCAGGCAAAAAATAGTACAAAATGGAATCAAAAGATCCATATTAGCAGTCCTAACTTGTGGAGATTAAGGTTTGAGGTTTAGTCATGTTGGTACACTTGCATTGGGTCCAGTGATTACTAGGAAACTTTTTGGTAGATATTGCATGTCAGTAGAAAATGAAGAGAACCTCTAGCGCTAAGGAATCACAAACTATTGAATATTGGAGTGGATAGCAAGGATTGGTATAGCCCACCCCAAATAGCTTGAGATTGAGGTGGAGTTGTTTGCGTAGATCTTGGAGAACATCTATTAGATCTTTTTTTATATAAGTATCTATTAGAAGATCTTTTAAATCTTCTTAGCTGGTTAAGTATACTAATTTTGATTTTGAACCTGCACAGTGAAAATATTGTGCAACAATAGTGCCCTAAATTGTTGTCCTTGTCATATTAGTCCATAGTACATTTGATTCCTTCATAGGTTCTGCACCTTGTACACTAAAGCTTCCACCTGCTGGACTAGATCCACTAAAGTTCAAGTCTCTCCTTTTACCTGTAAATGTATGCTAATTTTGGTATTCGAACCTGCACAGGGATAAGAAAAGAAAAAACTTCTCGGATCGGTGGAAAGAAATAAAAAACCTTGCGGAGTGAAAAACTTGTGCAACTATAGTGCCTTTGAATCTTCATCCTTATATCATGCTACGTTTGCTTTCTTCGCAAGTTCTTCACTTCTTGCTCTAGGGCTGCCACTCGCAGGCTATATCCATTAAAGTTCAAAATATCTGTTTTTCTGTAAAGTGACTTCTCCGGTCATGGTGTAGCAACCAACTTTAGGATTCCAAAATGCTTTCTTATCAATCACAGTGAAGGAATATATGTTTTTTTAATAGGAACAGTGAAAGCATATACGTAAGAAACAACCAGTTTCCATACACAACTTCGGGAGACCTTTTCCTTTTTTGTACATGTTTTGGAGCACCTATGAGATTCCTGGTAAGATAGATTGTTAGGATATAGCATCATTGCTCTTTGTAAAGAATGTCACTTTGTCTACTATTTTCATATGGTATGTACAACTTTTGTATCTAGAGATTTCCTTTTTAATTTTCATTTCAATTAAATCAAGATGCTAAGAGAAATAAATAGAATCTGCAAATGGCAGTTTTTCTCTTCTAAAACATACTGTAACTCCAAAAGCAAACCAGAAAACCTAATTGTGGCCATTAACAGCAAATATATCCAAAATACCTAAAATGCTCCTACTTTAAGCTGAACAGGCTCCTAACTTAAACCCTAGCCTAAACAAATAAACGAAACCGACAAAAGCTTAAAAATAATATAAGATCCTAACACCCAATCTAAATTATGATTTCTTTCCTATCTCTACCATGAAATCACCCTGCAGCAAGAAGTACATAGCTAGGTTCTAGGATGTAATTTAGTAATACTAAATGTACCCAATATGTGGGGTAACAGGTAATAAATAGGTGATAGAAACCATTGAGAGATTACTACAAAGGAGAACTTTAAGGAGTTTCAGAATTTTATTGAAGGGATATCTCATCAACTCTGAAGGCTTGGCAAGAGTTGCTAAAAGGAAAGTGCATGAAAATGTTAACTACCAAACCAAGCAAGGGGAAGCAGCTAAGGAGGGTGAAGTCGCCAAAACTGGATAGGCATTAACTTTCATGCATAAGCAGCCTTATATGAGTAAAATATTAGAAGAGCTTCATATCTCTAACTATTAGGTGGAGTATGCATATTACATTCAGCTCTAGTACTATAAGTTAGTTGACTCCTCGACCGAGGACTCCAGTCAAAGCAGATTTTGTTCCAGATCACTGACAAGCATAGTTAATGAATTTTTGTTGTTAAGTTAAAAATATAATTATATACATTTTAACTAGCAGAAAGTCTCACTTAATGCAAATCAGATGCGTATAGTTAACATCTGCACACCCCTCAACAAAAGGGAGGCAAACACCTGATAACTAGTATACTTATCCATTTTATTTGTTCTCCTTCGCCTTGATTCGTTCAGCTGAAGAACACTAGAGAAAAGATGTTTCTTCATCAATTTACCCGTCAGAGTGATTTTCCAAAACAAGCTCATATAAGGCATGCATGTTAAGATGAAGGAATCATGTGAAATATTAGAGTTAATTTGTTTTGACTTTTGACAGTGAACACTTTCATCTCAAAAACGAAAGGAGAACAAATAAGTTAGAACGAGATACTATTTTGATTATCGATGACCTCAAGAATATTTGGCAAGTTCTGTCTGCAGTTTCTCAGTGTGGGTTTTCAGATGTCGAAAACAGTTATTCCTTCCTAGAAATGTTTTCCTAGTTCCCTGCCAGGGAGTCGCAACTCGTCCACTTGCCTTACGTGACTTTTTTTATAAGGTCAGTTGCCCTTCATGACTATTCTTTCCATTGACATTTCTCTGGGTGTAAATATTATACTGTATTAAAAGTTACATTATTCATGCCTCGTTCATATGAAATTTTGAATCAATTTAAAAGGGTAACATTGATCTTTCTTGTTCTTTTTCTTCTGGAACCACTGTGAAAACAACTCTACTCTTCCACACCTAGTGGAAGTAAAATGATAAACATGAGACGAAGTATAAAAGTGTAGAAAACTAAAGGAGAACATATTCTACTGCAAGCAACATGAAAATGGAAAGAGAACAAAGATAACGCTAAAAGCGGCCTATGCCTATCTTAAGCAAAAGGTTCAGAACTTGAATTACTTTTGCATACAAAAAGCTCAAGATAATTTAAGAGAAAAGCAAGATGAAACCTTTCCACTTGTTTTAAAAATTCTAAAACAGTTGCAGTTGTTCCATCTTTTTTTCTCCCTTTAACTGCCTAGACCAGAGACGACATTGCTTCTATCATTTACCATATACTCCGCCCACTTTTATTTGATTGTTTGGGTTCAGAAATTTTTCTTCATTTCCCCCCTTTTTGGGAGGTTTAGAGTCGCCCTGAGATGACTAATAACAAAGAAGAAGTCAAACATTTTTTCAATCAGATGGGTAAACATTTGCTAGCAAATTCAGTCCATTTTGAGGCGAAAGAAGAAGACAAGGAGCTATTCTTAAATTCTCTAAAGTGAGAAAGCATGAGTTCTATTGGATTGGATACTATCTTAAAGGTAACTATATAAAGTTTGAAACCAAGGGATGGCCTGAGAAAAATTCAAACACGCAGAGAAGCATTCAAAATGCAAAGGGATGCTGCAGTGCTGGAAAACAAACTTAAGGTTGTTAACCAACCTTTATGGAGTGATAGAAGGGATGTTCCACGTCTATTTATTGAGCTACATGGCACCTTAATATCTTTCCAAAGCTTCTTATACTCCTCATCATCATAGGGCCTCATCAATAAATTCAGAACCTCCTTCCTGTAGCCAGAATCTATAATTGACGCATTTGGGTTGCTGATAGGCTGACTGGGATCCTCCAGCTTGATACACAAAATTAGAAGCCAATGCAACAAGAGTTATCATGCAGAAATAAAACTAAGAGTAACATAAAAGGAAGGAAGAAGAGGGAGGGGAAGAGGGACCAAGATAACTAGTGAAAGTAGAAGAAGAATTGAAATAGTACATTCTCGCTATGTTCCACTGAAAATACAAAGGGGTTAGAGCTACTGCCCATGCCTAACTCTGCATCAACGTTCTGAACAATTTCTACTTCACTTTGGGGGATCTCCTCCTTGAGAGCTTCATAAACCAAATAACAATTATTTCCAAATGAAGATTTGAGACAGCGATCTTCGTAAACAGGTTTTCTTGCGAGAATCAAATAAATCTTACAATCAGAATCTTCTTTTGGTTCTGTCTTTACTCTCACGTCCATGAATTTGCCACCATTCTGTGTCTTCTGCTCCTTACCAGGTACAATCTTCACATCAGTACTGTGCTTTCTGTTACCTAAATCCCTATCTACCCTCCTTTGCTTCTGACTCAAGATCCCATTTTTCATCTTATGCTTCTCAACTACGGAGGTATTCCTATTCTTTCTCGCGTAAGTGTCTAGAGCTTTTGAACTCCCTAATTTGTACTTTTCCCTAACACTATCCTGATCCTTTCCAACTCCATGAATCTCCCACTCCCTATCAGTTGTTAGGTTCCTCTGACAATCATATTCGTGCTCATCATCAGATCTGTCCTCTTTCTCATACTTCACGAACACGGGCAACCCATTCTGATCACTAGCTTTAAGAACATATGACGTTCCATCTGGCTTAGTGTTAGCCAAGAAAGTCATATATTGCGGGTCAGCTTCAACATCACTACAACTAGAATTCTCCCTATCATAGGCAGCTCCCACGTCAGCCTCCTTTGTTGATAACCCGGCATTATCTTGATCCACAAGAACACATCTTTCCAGTGCTTTATGATCCCTAAGCCCAGTACCTTCCCTATCATACTTCTTCTTCTTTCTATATAGACGACAAAAATCATACATTAAATCCCAATCCTGCATTCCAGCTTTCTCCATCCAATCAAATTCAATTTCCAAGAAACCAAAAACCCAAAATAAACACTGCAGTTAATCTTGTTTCAGCCAGATAACCACATACAACGACTAATCACTGTTTCATCCATTCACTTTTAAACAGCCAACATAAATATCTGTACAATAGAGGCAAAAAAGACTAATCTTAGTTTTTAAAATCAAGAAAATGGGAGACATTAGTTTAAAGAAAAAGTACTCCCAGATCACAAGCATTTCTTCTTAAATTTCTCTTTTTAGTTACTCTCTTCATTCCAGTTTATGTGACCCTATTTCCTTCAGGTTGTTCCAAAAAGAATGACCCCTTTGGAAACAATTTAACCTGAACTTTTTTTTACCCCTAATGACAAACTTTGATAGCCATATACACATGTTATGAATGTATCTAACAAAAAGTCTCAAACGTTCTATAGCCATGCTACAAGTTTCAAAAGTTATTTTTTCCAGTTACATGAAATGAGACAGAAGGAGTAAAATCAAGGGGTTCCTATGCACTTACATACTTTAACGGGATGCCGATGGCAACCACTGAACCAAAGATCATTCCAAATAAGCTTCTATAGCCACACACACACACACACACACAAAACAATGTATAGAAAAGCACTGGAAAAAATCGCATGCAGAAGCAAGGTAAAACGATTAAGCGAACTGTGAGCAAAAAAGCGTGATAAATCAGTACATCGCCTAGCCGGAGAGTCGACGGAGAAAAAGCAAAAGAGCGTCGGAATTGCGATAATCTGAGAAGAAGACAAACGCAGCGGGAGCAAATTTGAAGAAGAGTGTAAAATGCAGCCTATTTGTAATTTCTTCTTTCTTAAATTTCATTACACCCTTCAAAAATTTTATAATGTCCAAAGTTTCCCCTTAAATATTAAATTAATATTTAAAATATTCTATCTATGGTGTAAGTAATAGATAGAATATCAATTTTATCTTGCCTTAAATAGAAACGTTTAGCTCATGTAAGATACTTTGACTATTGGAACAGGAAAAAAAGAAAAAAGAAGAGAACAGTTTGACTAAACCAATGACTAAATTAACGCTAGTCCTTAGACGTGATGTATGGGAGTATTTGGATGAGTCCGGAACCGAAATATTCTCTTTTTTGAACTTGAAATACTTTTTTAGGTGAAAAAAAAACTTAGTTACCAAAATATGTAAAACATGGTTAACAACCACGTTTTACCTTAACGGCTGTTTGGGATGTTAAGGTAAAACGCGGTTGTTAACCGCGCTTTACCTGGAAGCTGATAAGACGGCTATGTAAAGCGCGGTTCATTACTGAGTTTTATATAAACCGCGTTTTACATGTTTTGTGGGCTCACCAATAACTCTTCTGCACTTAACTGACATAACAATAATTCAAATATGTAAAACGCCCTTTCATTGCCTTATTTAAAGGGGTTAATGGTTTTGAGAAAAATCATTCAGAAATTCTCCAACTTCGTGATAAATTTTTCTTGTTGTTAAATTCTCAAGTTGTTTTCATAATGTCTGAAGAGCGAAAAGTAAGGGTTTCATTATATTGGGGGGCGAGGTTGTGGTGGTGAATAACTCAGTGAGCTATAGTTTATCTCCACAGAGTCATGTTAAGTTGCCACTTACAATGGAGTGCGATAGACTGGTATCATTGTTATGCAATAAAATGAGGTTGAGCAAATGTTCGGTGAATCTTAAAATAACCGGAAGATATCCGTATTCTGTGACTCCGCAAGGGGTTGCTTGTTACGCTGAGTTTAATATCGAGATGATGAAACTCTGAGAGATTTTTGGGGACTTCGGATGAATACCGGGAATTTATTTTGATAAAAATGTTGGAATGTACGTGAAGGTTGAAGACGTTCGCAATAATGATGTTGCGCAAAGCAGGGATAACCCTCAATCATCGGGTGGTTATTCTGGAGCAGTTTTAGCCCAACAGGTTCCGGTTGAAAGAGTTTGGCCGGATCTAAACTTATCTCCACGGGCGAACGAGGAGCGAGGAAATAATTTCTCTCCTACTTTACATAATCCACAAGACGACTGGTAAACTTCAATTTTCCTTTATGTTACGATGTTTATTTTTGTTGTATTGAATTTATATTAACACTCATATATTCCACAGAGGGTACCCTCTAGATATGAATTTTACAAGTTATGACCCCATGCCCAGTTGGAATATGCGTAGTTTTGGTGTGTTGGATCACGGTGGTCCATCCGAGAGTCATCACCAACAGGATAATGTCCATCATGGAATGTCAACACATTACGGCTTGTAAGTGAAGTGATATAGCTATATGTAAAGTATTTATCAATTTGAGTAGCTTATCATTTTGTTGTTTGTGCAGTGAAAACGAGAAACTTGATGGTCATGACCTCACTCAGTTGCCCGTAGACGACGTATTTACTCGAGATTTGGCAGATGCGCAGAGTCAGGAAGATAATAGTGATGATGACAACAATTCCGATGAGTCTGGAGATGACACACCCTTCCCTGACGAGGGTGATGAGGAGGAGGAAGTGAATGTCGAACCTGAGCTGACGAGGGAGCATGCTCTACCTCCCGTTAGACCAAGAGTGTACGAGTCCCACGTGCCGTTTCATTCAAGTCATATTCCTTACCTTGATAATTTGCCAAGTATGCTGGATGTGTATGCCCTCACAAGGGATCTTGACGAAATTCGGACAGCAATGTGGCATGAGTCTAGACCAATGGTGCTGGCAAAGGGCATATTTTTTCCCGATAAAGCTTGCCTAACTAGGGCTTGTAAAATGTACAACGTAAGAGAGTTTCATGAGATGATAGTACGAGAGTCAAGTCCGGAGGTATACAAGGTTGTTTGTCGTAGATGGTTTACGGGTTGTCACTGGATGCTGCGTGCGACCAAGAAGGAAACAGGGTTGTGGAAAGTAGGTAAATATATTGGCACCCATGTTTGTGAAATGGACACATACATTGAGAATCACTTCAACTTGGATGTTGACTTGATTTCTCTTCAACTGATTCCACAATTGGAAGTGTCCATTAGGTACAAGATCAAAGAGTGTATTACATCTATCCACCAGGAATATGGGTGTACTATTACCAAAAGAAAGGCATATCTCAGGCGTAAACGTGCATTTGAAATTGTTTATGGTGACTGGGATAAGTCATTTGCATCTCTACCCAGGTACATGGCCGCACTGAAACACTTTAACCCCGGGACTATTGTTGAATGGAAGCTTGAGCAGAGTGCAGAAATACCAGAATATATATTCAGATACGTGTTCTGGGAATTTAAACCAGCAATTGATGGTTTTGTGCATTGTCTTCTGGTAATTTCTATAGACGGTACTCATGCCTATGGAAAGTATGATATTAAGTTGTTGATCGTCGTTGCAGTAGATGCTAATGGACAAATATTTCCACTAGCTTTTGCCATCTGTGCCAATGAAAGCCAAGAGACGTGGACGCTATTTTTGAACCACTTGAAGCAGCACGTTATCAAACAACGTTCAGGTATTTGTCTAATATCTGATCGACATGGCGGTATATTAAGTTCTGTAGAGCATTTGCCTGAATGGCAGGAACCCTATGCATACCACCGTTACTGTGTGAGCCACTTGAATGCCAATTTCCAGAAGAAATATCCCAACAAGGACTTGCATGATTTAATGTGGATGGTTGCAACTGATCACCAGCGGTGCAAATTCAGGAGGCGCATGGAATTGATCCGGCAGTTAGACGAAAGAGCCTATAATTGGTTGATGCGACATGAGCTTCACAAGTGGACATTGCATGCTGATGGTGGCAGACGACGGTGAACCCTGACTACAAATGTGTCGGAGTCTTTCAACAGGTTGTTGAAGTCTGCACGTGGATTGCATGTCTCTTCCATGGTCCGGATGACATTCAAACAGATGGCAGAGAGGTTTGTTGAAAGGCATAGAGGTGTATCAGAATTGATGGAGAGGGGTGTTGAATTTATGCCAATACCGATGAAAAGATTTGAGAAATACAGGAGGCGAGCACATTGGCATTCATATTTACAGTATGATCACGACCGGGATGTCTTTGAAGTTCGCACCGCTATCCATCAACACCGGGGAAATAATATACACACCGTAAATGAAGCCAGTAGGTTGTGTTCAACCATCTACCACATGCCGTGCTCACATGCCATGAAGTGCTTTCAACATACAGGTTTAGGGGCAACCAACTATGTTGATAGGCAATACAGTGTTGCTGCATACTTAAACACATATAGTGGACAGTTACAGCCAGTGGGTGCTGACAATTATTGGCCGCCGAAACCATTTAAAATGCTGTATAACAAGGACTATTTGCGCAAGCTACAAGTGCAAAAGAGAACACGTATGCGGGACCAAATGGATGTTGGTGATACTGTTTATGCGCGTAAATGTGGCATATGCTCGCAAACAGGACACGACCGTTGTAAATATCCTTCAGCTGGTTCGGGTGGTAGTGGTAATCCAGCTCCTAGTGCAAATTCATCAACTCTCCCTTACTGGGGACCACCTACTCGCCGGCCCCCACGACCCCGTGGGACACCCCTGCCTCGTGGGACAGCCCTGCCTCGTGGTCCCCTAGCTCGTGGGATAGGCCTACCTCGACAGTAGTGTTCTGGCGCCATATAGGCAGGGACGTGCTCTAAGCGCTCGTCCTCTCTGGCTCGATGCAGTGTCTGGGCAGCCAGCTTTGTAACCTGTCGGCCATACTCGTGCAAAGTAACCGCTCCCTCGCCGGCATGCTACTGCATCTACAGTCCCAACTGGTGGACTAAATGTAGTCCAATATCATGCACAACATGTAAAATATAAATTACGGAACGCTAGATAACAGATATAAGTAAGAATACCAAATAACGTACTGGTGCCTCGTACCTCCTGGCGTATGGAACGTACTGACCGTGTAGCGACCCAACTGGTCGTTTTGAGCAATTACGTCTGGTTCGGCAGTTTGAGGTCACGAGCATCTTCATATTATGTGTATCGACTTGCGTGCACAGTCCGGGCATGAAACCGGAAAGCTTTTATGTGAAAAATATGAAAATATAGTAATTTCTAGAGTTAAAATTTGGTTTTTAGTTGACTTTGGTCAACATTTTTGGTAAAAGGACCTGGATCTGTGTCCCGACGATCCCGGGAGGTCCGCGGTAAAATATGGGACTTGGGCGTATGCCCGGAATTGAATTCCGAGGTCCCTAGCCTTAGAAAATAATTTTTGAAGAAAATTGTTGTGTTGGTTTTTAAAAGAAATAAAGAAATGAATTAATGTTTGAACTCGTTGGTATCGGGCCAGTATTTTAGTTTCGGAGCCCGGTACAAGTTTTTTATGATATTTAAGTCCTATCTGTAAAATTTGGTGAAAACCGGAATTGATTTGACGTGATTTGAACGTTCGGTTGAAAAATTAGAAAATTTGAGTGTCCTTGAGAAAATCATGAGTTTTGAGGTTAAATTTATAGTTTTGATGTTATTTTTATGATTTGATCACACGAGCAAGTCCATATGATGTTTTTAGACTTGCGTGCATGTTTGGTTTAGAGCCCCGAGGGCTTGGGTGAGTTTCGGATAGGTTTAGGCTATGTTGCGCTTGTTTTTGGATGCTTCATTGTCGTTTCTTCAAGCAAAAATGATACCACATTGAGCAAATGAGATCCAAATTCATTTTTGTTTGAACCATTAGATCCGTTCGAAATTATGGATCCATGGGAAAAAGAATCATCAAATTTGGACATTGTATGAGGAAGTTATGCTCATTTTCGTGTCGGGAAAAATTGCTGGTTTCTGGTGTGTTCGCAAATGCGAACTTTTCCATCGCATTTGCGATGCCCAGTTCGCAAATGCGGACTCT